GTCCATGGTTGGTTGTATATCAGTGTTTCATTTAACGTTCCTGTATTTTCTGTAAATTGGTAGTCAGATATAGTGACTTGATCATCTTCATGCTCAGTTTTTGGACAAGAATATTTAGAAGCAATGTCGTGTTCTTCCATAAGGAGGCATTCATGACTTCTCTTTTGGTATTGTCATATTAATAGCCATTGAGATATTTTGTCCACAGTGGCTGATAATACTACTTGTGATTCTCGTGATTCCTTGAAACTAGCTTTAGTTGGTAATCTAGGTTTTTCCCCCACTCTGGGCACTATTAAGAATTAAAAAAAAAAAAAAGATTCAATATCAAGTTGTGATATTTTCCTGGATGCATCCTAGGTTTGATGCTGTGCCCTTTTGCAAGCCCTTTTTCTGTGTGAAGACCTTCTTCACCTTAGATCAATTTTCTTCTAGATTAGTTTTCTTATTTCTTTATTTTCCCTCTCCACTCTCTCTTTATTGCTTTCTGACTTGTCCTGTCACTTTATTCAAGCCTCTGCTCAAATGTTACCTTATCAGATCACAATAATCACCCCCGGTGAAGGCATTCTGCTACTACCATCTTCTTATCCTGCTTTAGTTTTTTCATAGCATCTGATGTTTATTTATTTATACTGTCTCTCCTATGACTTAGATATAAGGCAGGGACTTTTTTTTTATTCACTGCTATTTCCTTGATGTTTAAAAGTTTGTTTCATGTAAGTGGGTGCTCAGGAATATTTGTTGAATTAATATATTAGGTTGGATTTAGCATTTGTCCTCAACTTTCAACTTGTATTGCATACTTTATATATATTTTTTCTACATTTTGAAAGTTGTTTTTAACATTATCTTCCAGCAACCATTGAATACTTGCTTTTGATAACTTTTTAAATTCTGACATCTCTTAAATTTCTTGTTCTCTGGGGGTTTTTTGTTGCACGGTGTATGTTTCATGGCTGCTGTGTCTACTTCCACCTCTCTGAGGATACCCAATAAACTCTCCAGTCCCACCTCCCTCCCCCACCCCAGCCCAGTAGGTTATCTTTTGATCCCTAAATTTTCTTTATTTCTTTCTTTGTTCATCTGGGTCACCCATTCCTTGTAACTGAGTTTCTCTGGTAGGTGATTTGGGTTTATTTAGTAGTTGTTTGGATCTATTCCTCTAACAGATCTCTGTATTTTTAGAAAGTGGGGAAAGGAGTGAGAAAGGGACAGAAACATCAAAGTCCAAGAGAAACAATCGGTTGCCTCTCACATGCCCCCCAACTGGGGACCTGGCCTACAACCCAAGCATGTGCCCCAACCAGGGATTGAACCAGAGACCTTTCAGCTGGCAGGCTGGCACTCAATCCCCTGAGCCACACCAGCCAGGGCTCTTTCTTTAATATAATAAAAATAGCACTCCCATTAGAGTGTTTGGCATGTGGCAGGAAAAAGGAAGGAAACAAGGGAAGGTTCAAATGGCTCAACTATTCTGAATTTAGTTTTTAATTACATTGCTCTTTGTTCTACAGCTAACTCTTCTTTGCTTCCAAGATTTTCTAATCTGTGGTGTCTTTGTGGTTTTGCTTTGCTTTTACTTTTCTGTCAATTACATTCTGTCCATCTGTATTTTTTAAATATCCTGAAATTTTTCTTTTTAGATGACACTCTTTATTGTTATCCAATACTATGATTTTATTTTTTCTTTTTAAACTTTTTACAAGGTTATAATACTGGAAATGATTGAAGAAATATATAGTGTTCATAGAGTAAAATTGGAAATCTTACTTTCTCCTCTACTTTTACTCCCCTCCAAAGAAGTAACCACTATTAATTTGTTATTTTTAACATACATGATTATCATTCTTGATCTTCCTTTTTTGATTTAACAATACATTTTGAACATTTTTCCATCCTACCAATTTATTTTTTTCCAGATTGATAAAATTCCTGCTTTTTACTGAGTAAAGTGTAATATCTTACTTTAATTTGCATTTTCTTGATTAGAAATTTTAATTGTTGAGCGTTTTCTAATTTAAGAAGGAGCAGACAATTTTAAAATGTTAAATAGGACAACTAAGAATATATACAATGTTTAGATATGTTTAAAAAAATAACTAAAGACGTGGGCAAAAGGTTGAAACAGGTCAGCATTTCACATATGTAGTATAAATCCTCAGTTATCTTATAATTTTTATACTGTTATTTATAAATATATCTATCACTTCAGTGGGTTCTTGATAAGTAGGGGAATTAGATAAGTGTGCTTATTTAGCAGGAATTTAGACAAATATTTAATTATTCCATGTTCTAGGGTTTGTCTTGCTTAATTTAATAAGCTACTATCAAGAAATCACAAGCATTCAGTCACTCATAACATTACATATGTTTTCATTTTATGCATCAGAACTATGAGGGGCCCCCCACCCCCCAAAATGGGATTATCTTCCGGAAGGCATGCCCCTTGTAGTACAGGCTTTGTGTGGTTAGGTGAATGTTCTAGGAAGCCATCTGTATCAGTGTACCAGCTGGCGTTTTTGTAAGAGGCTGTATTTGGCTTCAGTGAATTGTTTTTGAAGATTCTTTCAACATGTTTGCCCATTTCTTGATGGGTGATTTACAAGCCCAGCTGACCATACCCTGCTGAGTGCAGTTTTTGACCAACAGTGGCATGACCCCCATACCCCACTCTCCCTATTCACCCCATCTTGCCCTGAATGACCTTTTTGTTTGTTTGTTTCCCCAGATTAAAAAAGTCCTCAAAAGGAAATGTTTTGCCAATGTGGAAGAAGTGAAACAAAAAACAGCAGAAACACTAAAAGGCATCAAAGCCCACAGACTCAAAAACTCTTTTGAACAGTGGGAAAAACATCTTGATAGGTGTATTTCGTCGAATGTAGAGTACTTATACGATGACTGAAGTTTAAACTTACAAGAATAAATACACAATTTTTTATAAATAAATTCGGGGGTTTTTTGGGGTCTCCCTCATATTTCTGATAGCCTGAATTACTGACAAGTAGAATATTACAGGACATGTCAAGGTTTATTTGGACTTTAGAGATGTCATAGAACAATTTGCCTTAATATTTACAGAATACAAACTCTGTAAGGTAAGGGATTTGCCCATAATCATATATGTAATAGCAGAGGTGGGTTTAGGACTTAGGTATCCCAGCTTTCTGACTCTCCCTCTATCCCATAATGCCTTCCCCAGTGTCCTTGTCCATGTGTCCTTGTATATGTTCCCCTTCTTTCCCATGTTATCCCCCTCGCCTTTTCCATCTGGTCACTGTCAATTTGTCCTTTATTTCCATGTCTCTCGTTCCTTTTTGCTCATTTGTTTGTTTTATTGATTAGGTTCCACTTATAGGTGAGATCATATTGTATTTGTCTTTCACTGCCTGGCTTATTTCACATAGCATAACACTCTCCAGTTCCATCCATGCTGTCGTGAAGGGTAGAAGCTCCCTTCTGCTGTGTAGTACTCCGTTGTGTAAATGTATCGTAGTTTTTTGATCCACTCATTTACTGATGGACATTTAGGCTGTTTCCAGCATTTGGCTATTGTAAATAACGCTGCTTTGAACATTGAGGTGCATAGGTTCTTTTGAATTGGTGTGTCAGGATTCTTAGGGTATAGTCCCCGCAGTGGAATTGCTGGGTCAAAGACAGTTCCATTTTTAGTTTTTTGAGGAAATTCCATACTGTTTTCCATAACAGCTGCCCGAGTCTGCATTCCCGCCAACAGTGCACCAGGATTCCTTTTTCTCCACAGCCTCACCAGCACTTTTTCTTAAATTCATTTTTATCTTAAATTAGAATACTTATATGGAACCTTATTTTTTTTTTTTACACAGAGGGCTATTTGGAAATAATGTGGCTGTTTGGGAATACATATTGCTTTGGAGGGATATGTAAAATATTCATTGGCACCAAATAATTAAAATTGCAACCTTTTTTTAAAAAAACAAGATCTGTTTGTGAACACATAATTTTTTTATTCATTTTTCACTTTAATTTTGGAATAGAGAGACGTTTTTGAATTGTTAAGATATAAAGGGATCAGTGAAGGTCAGTAAATCATTTATTATAAACCAATGGAGTAGAGTTGTTTATGTTCCTCCTATACATTCTATTATCAGAATTTTCCATTTGTCAACCTGTTTTGTAAATAAGTTTTCTCTCTTGTAAGGAAGGTAAGAAAGTTAATGTTTTGGGGATCATAATGTTTTGGGGATTATAACTTTTTTTTAACATATTAGAATTTAAAGGATAAATAGATTGGAAGTACAAGTGAGCACCCAGAGTTGTAAATACGACCTGGACTTGAGCGATGTCCAAGGCCATAGTGGTTGAGAGCGATAATCTGCATTTATATTCATTTTCTTATCAGTTATAAAAGTTTTATAACAAATGCATTTTTAAGAATTATGGTGTATTTATTAATTAAAATTATTTTGATGAAAAACTTTATCTTAGAAAATGGCCTTAGGCATTCTCCTTAATATATTGATTTAATACAAAGTGTTTGAAAAGGCATATATAAAGGTTTGGGATAATTGCATTGTATATGGTATCCAGCTTACCAATATTTTTGCTTTTTTTAGTTTATAAAGCAAAGTGTTTTAAACTCTTTCTAGAATGGAATTTTACTTCAGTAAAAAGCAGTACCCTATCCAAGGGGTTTCCAATGATAGTTTTCAATTTGTAATGTAGAAGCTTCACCATGGTGTAAAGTGGTATGACACTTTAGGAAAATAGATCATGGAACTCCATATGATGGTATAAATTTTGCAGTGCTTGCATGTCATAAATTGGAATGAAAAATACATTAAAATTTACATTAAATCAGACCTGTTATCAATGTTGAGTCAGTGGGATAGGGATTATGGAATGTGTTTGGGACTCCATGGTGGGAGGTAGGGTCAAAGCAGCCCTTGAATCAAACAGAAAGGAAATTTTGACCAGGGCAGTGATGTGACATGATCTTTCCCCCTTTATTTTTGTTGCAGGCAAAGGGGAAGATAGTGATGTACTCAGTATAAATGCAGATGCTTATGACAGCGACATTGAAGGCCCATGCAATGAAGAAACGGCAGCACCCGAGGTTCCAGAAAATACAGTCCAAAGTGAAGCTGCTCAGATAGATGACCTGGAGAAAGACATTGAAAAAAGCGTGAATGAGATTCTGGGGCTGGCAGAGTCTAACCCAGCGGAACCCAAAGCCGCCACCCTCACTGTTCCTCCACCAGAAGATGTTCAGCCTTCTGCACAGCAGCTGGAGCTGCTAGAACTTGAGATGAGGGCAAGAGCTATTAAAGCCCTCATGAAAGCTGGTGATATAAAAAAGCCAGCCTAGTTATTTAACTTGAACCTAAATTTTTGGTGTGTTTGAACAAAGCCACATGGTATAATTTTGTACCTGAAGTTTATTTTGGGTCTTATATGATATTTCTCATGTAACCCATATTAGGTAATATGAATTTTTTCATTGATGTTACTTTTATATTATAAATGTGTTGTTTTATGAGTTCATGGCAAATACCATTGGATAATTGGATACTTTGTTATATAAACTGCAGATTAACATCTGAAAAGCCATTAACAGAGTTGCAGTAATTTTTTTATTTTTAAATGTTTTGTCACCAAACCTAAAAGGTTAAGAAAAATTGACCAAGCATGTTGCTCTTAAGGCTACCTATATTTAGCAGTGAAATATTAAATTATTCCTCCTAGATTTGTTAACAGTTTAAGAAATTTAGTTATGCTAGTATGCACTTTGAAAATATGAATTGTCTTGAATATACATACCTTATATGGTTGTGGATTTACTGGTAAAAACCAAGTAAAATTTTTGTAAGGTTTAGAGATCCAAAATGGCTAAGATAAAACTTATTTTATAAAATAAAAAAGCCTTAATGTAAGGTAATTTTTAACAATGTAGAATAATTGCCCAAATTTAATTCCAGCAGATAAGCCATTCTATGAGGCATTTGATATTATTATTGGACACTTTGTTCAGTTGTTTTTCTTCACTAGAAAGGGAACACATTTTCATTTCCATTCCAAGCTATCAGGAAAAGGAGAATGTTTTATCATACAGGCTTTCATCTAGTGTTTTTGCTTGAAGATCTGCTGTGCTATAATTCCATGAATTAAAAATAATAAAGACTGTCAGTCTGGATTTGAAGACTTTTGGTACATTTCCAAAAGCAAAGTTAATTTCAGGAAGCTTTGTTAAGTTGATGTTATAATATGATTTTGTATAGTTTTTGTAAATAATTAACATCTTGCCACAATTATGGATGTTTTTTGCCCCATCACTAATTGTAGCTGTTTGATACCAAAATAAATTTAGGTAGAGATTCTTAAGTTAAAATAAATTGTTTTTTTTCCTAAAATATAAATCTGAAACTGTTGTTTTTATATTTGCTCACAATTATAGTATATTTTATTTATAAGCTGGGCTTTACTAATGCTGTATGAGGATTTTCCTTGAGCATAAAACTTGCTGAGATTGTGTTTTATTAGCTGGCTTAATTGTATATAAAAATTTTAGAAGATATATTAGGGAAATAGAGAGTATTTATAAAATATTAGAGTTGCAGTTAAAATTCTTTTTTTTGTTCCTGAACAAGACTTCAAATAACCTTGTCATTTTTTCTTTTCTCCCTATATCTTTCTGATGTATCATTTGAAAAGCTTCTCTTAGACTAGCAAACATGAATATGATTTAAATAGTGAGTTCTTGTACTTAATTGCTTCAAGGTAAAGCATTGATTATAGTAAAATAAATTTTCTATTTTAACTTAAAATAATACAGCAGTGCAGAATAAACTAATGCTGCTTAATAATTATAAAATGCAGTAGATGACATGTGTGTGTGATTAAACATAGAGGAATAGAAAAAGGTCTGAGTGTTTTGTAACTGATTAAAGTCACCACCTTCATGAAGCATTGTGCGTCTGCTGTATTCAGTGTGCAGAATGGTTTAGAGAATATTTGACTAGGGTTGGTATGTATGAGGTAGAATGCGCTGAACAAATTAGAGGCTACATAAGAGTCCTACTTGGAAAATCAACGTTTACTCAATTTTTTTTTCTTTTTTAATGTTGAAAGACAGGAGAGCTTTTTGAAAATGAATGGCTTTAAAGAATAAAGATAAGTTTGTATTGGACATGCCTAAGTAATGAGAAAATAACATATATTGATCTGATGCTGTTATTTAAACCATCAGCTCACAGGTATTTATTGATTACCTTTGTGGTGTTTAGTCTTGTTCAGAATCTTAAACTCAGGAATGTTACAGTATAGATTTTAGTGTAAAATAGACTGACTAAAAAGATATGGATGTTGCTTCCTTTTATGTCTAACTCTTCCTCTTTTTTGCCAAGATAAGGAAAATTTCTAGACAATGTTTAATTAAAATTAAAAGAGAAAAAAATTTGGCAGCCTAATTTTCCACTTAAAGCAATCCTGGTATTTGACTAGGAACTTGACCCAAATCTAGAATGATAGGTGGCAACTGATAATGGGTCCTCTTCATTAGACATTGGCCACTTTTCAGTGTTTCTACTAATTTACACACTTAGATAGATCTTTAAAAACCTATTACCATGTTACCTGTGTAACATACTAATTATGAAAAATCACCTAAACTCTCCAAATCCTTTTGTTGAACACTTTCAAGTCCTTAAAACTGTCAGGCAATGTATTGTTTTGAATATGTCTTGTTGCCAAAACCTACTTTAAACAAATCGTTATCATAGAGCATGATTAGCTATCTGAGTAGAGGTGTTCGGAGTCATTTGAACAGTAATATAAATTGCAGTTAAATAACAGAGCGGGGCAAAAGTTGGTTTAAATTTGTTCATATGGAAAATAATACAATAGTTAATAAATAATACAAGAATAAATTTTCGTGTGCTCTCCTGTAAACCTACTTTTGCCCCACCCTTTAAGTATTTTTTATTTTTATTTTTTATTTTTACTTTTTAAAGATTTTATTTATTTTTAGAGAGGGAGGAAGGGAGGAGGGAGCGAAACAGCCGAGTGCTAGGGAAACATTGATCGGTTGCCTCTCTGCCCTCAACTGGGGACCTGGCCTGCAACTCAGGCATGTGCCCTGACTGGGAATCAAACTGGCAACCTTTTGGTCCTGCAGGCCAGCACTCAGTCCACTGAACCACACCAGCCAGGGCTACATATCTTTTAAATGCCATTTTCAAGATAGATAAAATAGGAGTGAACCCATAATTCGGGCCAAATATAGCTGGCAGCCTAAAAGTTTTAAAAATTCTCAGTTCTGTTCCATCATAAAAAAAATAAGAAAAGAGTTCAGTTATAGATACTTTTCCTTTATTTTATCTGTTAAATTCTTAAAAAGACCAATATACTTTAACTTAAAACTCCTAGATATCTTCACATTTTCTTTATCTTCAAGTGGACTCCCTCTTTCAAACACAGAAGTGCTAATGAATAAACAGTAGGAACTCAGAAACGTTTCATTGGTATTTATTTAATCATTATTTTAAAAAGCATTGTGATGCAATGAAAAGAGTGAGAGTTAAGAGCGGAAGGTTCTCACCATGAGGTACCACCTCACACCGGTCAGAATGGCCATCATAAACAGATCAACAAACAACAGGTGCTGGCGAGGCTGTAGAGAAAAGGGAACCCTAGTACACTGCTGGTGGGAATGCAGACTGGTGCAGCCATTGTGGAAAGTAGTGTGGAATTTCCTCAAAAAGCTGAAAATGGAACTGCCATTTGATCCAGTGATTCCCCTGCTGGGACTATACCCTAAGAATCCCCAAACTCCAATTCAAAAGAACCTATGCACCCCAATGTTCATAGCACAATTTACAATAGCCAAGTGTTGAAAGCAACCTAAATGCCCATGAGTAGATGATTGGATCAAAAAACTATGGTACATTTACACAATGGAATACTACGTAGCAGAAAGAAAACTGCTAAACTTCGCGACAGCATGGATGGAACTGGAGAGCATTATGCTAAGCAAAATAAGCCAGGGGGCGAAAGACAAATACCATATGATCTCACCTATAAGTGGAACCTAACCAACAATACAAAGATGCAAGGAAAATAAGACGAGCAACACTGAAAAGAAAAGAAACCAGCAAAGACAAGAGGGAAGGAAGGGAAGGAGAAAGTCAAGGAACATATAGCAAGGACTCATGGGCAAAACCAAAGGGGAAGAGTTGAGGGAAGGAGGGAGGGGGCAAGGGAAAGTGGTGGGGGGTAGGCAGAGACAAATGTATTTGAAAAAATAATTTAAAAAAAAAAAGAGCAGAAGGTTCTGAGTCTGGCCAACTGTAACCTTGGACAAGTAACACTTAAATGAGGGAAGTAAGTTATTAACCAATATATAAGATTTCTTTCTGCTATAGTATTTTGTGATTCAAGTACCATAAAAATTTGGGAAATTTAGGGAACTCTTAAGTTCAAATATTTCTTGAATCTTCCCTACTTTCCCCCATTCAAAATGAACTAATCCATTTCATATCTCATTTTTTTTTCTTTACCAGGATCACTTGGTAAGTACACTGTCTAGAATTACTCACTTCGGCCCATAAACTTAGGTTATCTTTACGTTATTGTTTTATTTATTTCAAAATAATACATAAATAATGTTAAGTAAAAAAAAAAAAAGCCAAAAAACACTTTTCCCAAGGCTTATACTGAAAAATAGTACTTTGTTCTTCTACTCTTTTTGCACCAGCTTTTGCTGAGAAGTAATGACTTTCAAATCTTTTAGCTATTTTTTTCCATTTATGTCTATTTTTAAGTAATTATTTTTTGATATTGTTTTAGATTTTATCTGTTGATCTATTTTGGAATATGAAGGTTCAGCTCTGTTCTACCTCTTTCCTAGACACATACCTTCCTCCCTCATCCTTCCATACAGTGCAGTTACAGTGCACTTTTTGGTTAAGGTAGCATTTGATATTTATACTTTATAACTATGTAAACGCTATTCTTAACTGGGCTCCCCTGTAATTCCTCTTTTGGACCAATTTTTGTTATAAATTTTTTGGAATAACAACATTATTATTTCATTTGCTCAGTGTTTTCTAGTAATCATCAACTTACACTGTTTTTTTCCAGAAGTATAACTTTCTTCTCAGTACGATGAAGAACATCGATCGTACAGTCTTTTTTTTTTTTTTTTTTTTTTTCCTTCCTATAAGAGATTCCTCCTGGATCTCTCTTCCTCACTAATCTGGATTGTTGCTCTTCACCTCTCATGTTGGATATTCCATTCCTGAATCTTCTGTCTTCCTGTTTTAGTTTAGTCTCTCATTTTGGCAGCATACCTGTTTCAACACTCAGTTGAAACATTGTGAGTGTTGACATTGAAGCTGGAAATTAATGTCCTGAACTTTACAGCATTGCACCAGTGCCTTCCAACTTTCACCAAATCTGTTGAGAATTCATTTGTCATTTTGATTGTTTTTACTTATAGTGTCCTGTTTGTTTCTTTTTGGAAATTGTTAGGATTTTATCTTTATTCCCAGTATTCTGAAGTTAATTGATGATGTGTCAGGGTTTTTTGTTTGTTTGTTTTGTTTGTTGTTTTTTAAGATACTACTCCTGATACCCTTCTTTTCTGTCTCATACCCTGACCATGTGAAAACCCTGCCAGGCAAAGCTGGGAAAGTGTACACCAGAAGTGATCAATTCACCTTTTCTTCAGGCTCCATCCTAGTCCTCAAATCAGAAACTGTTGGGTGGATCTTTTTTCCTTCACTAAGTTGATCATTGATGGACTCTTTCAGGGGGTAAATTTATGTCATTCAGTTCTGGGAAGTTTTTAAATATTGCTTCTTGGGTAAGTTCCCTTCCCTCTACTTCTTTCTAATATCTGCTTCTGAAACTCCTTTTATTAAGATATTTAGGCCTAGTTTTTAAATTTCTTATTTTTATTTTATAAGAGTTTATTTGAGCCAAATTGATGACAATATTCAGGAAGCAAAATCTCAAATGCTTCTTACTGTCTGTTTCCATCATTATTTTCCACTTTCCTGTACATTTTTTTGATACTCTCTTCCAGTTCTTCCAATGATTTAAAAAAAAAATCCTTATCATATTCAAAAAATCGTTTTATATCTTATTCACTGAATATTCTCTTTTAAAAATAACATTATGTCCTTGTGTCTGTAGGGCAATGGCTCTGTCCTGGTGTACAGTGACCCTGCACATATCCCGTTAGGCCACACAGGCAGAGCGTGGCCCTCTGCCTAGCCTTGGTCTTGGTGCGACACCCTGTGATCCTCCCAGAGCATGACTACACAGGCAGTCTTGTGAGGACCCGTCACACACTTTCATTTTCTCATCTACCTTTTTGTTGTTTTTTTTAATCCTTACACTCACCCACACCCTGAATGGGGATTGAATTGGCAAACTAGCCATGTGCTCTAACTAGGAATCAAACCCTCGACCTTCTGGTTTACAGGATGACATTCCAACCAACTGAGCCGCACCAGGACTACCTTTTTGTCTTGAGTGA